AATGTTGCTTCCAGAAACAACATTAAGACTATAAGCATAGGAAAGAGTGCTGGCTGATTCTATCAAAATGTAACTGGATTTTGAGCCATGTCAATTTATGAACCAGTAGTGAGATAACTGTTTCATTGTTAAATAATCATGCAGGCTCTGTGCTGAGATTTGAATCTGTTTGAATCTTGTAATAGGCTGTATAGCAAGAAACAGTTCAACTGTCATGTGCGTTGACGATTGGTTTGCCCCAATTTTTACGACAGGAACATTAAACTTCTTTCCTACATTAGTAGATATGTCAATAGGCTGTAGCTGATATTTTAGTCTGAGGAATCAGAAAGAAAAGGCAGCACTGCACTGTAAATTCATTAATTCCCAAGGCCACAGCAGGAGACAGGGAGATAATAATTAACCACAGCAGATGGAGACATAAAGCTTGCTTAAGTCCCCTCTACCCCCAACAGGCTCCTTTTCTCTTCCCCTCCTCCCTGGTATATCCTGCAACAAAGCCTATAACGATCACCAAAGAAGGAAGTTCCTGAGCTCATTACTTAACTAAGCTGTAAAATGTAACACTCAACCTAAACCCAACAAGAGATTGGAACTGAGTTTCATTTTGGGATTATTTTTCAGACAACACGGGGAAAAAAAACACCACACTTTTATTTACTATTTAGAGTGCAACAGCAGTCAAAAATGGAAGAAATATCTTCTAGCACAGAAGAGAGCAGTGTTGTTCTGAGACCATGCATGAAAATGGTTTGTATCTACTGTGCTTGTACAATGCTTGGATTCAAATTCTGCTAAAATAATTTAGCATGCTGCAATGGCACACACTATCCACACTGCTGCTGAATTTACAGAACTTGAATGCCTGATAATGGAATATGCCAATTTGCCTAAAATCAGTTACAAAGAAAAACAAAATAAACATAACTAAAGCAATAAATCAAGATGTTGTGTCTTTGAGGCAGAGAATATCATTGTACAGATTCACTATCTGCTGAAGGGGTGTCCAGGTTCATTCCAACAATTCAGATGCTGTGGGAATTGTGCTGTATGATCAGTGGTAGGCTTGTTCTGCATAGAGTCTTCATTTCAGAAAAGAGCTGAAATGTAGCAGAACACAAATTGTAGAGTGCTATGCATGACATTCACCATTGTTCTTAATTTCTCATTTGGAACCACTGTAAAGAGAACTGTTACAGCTCCCCATAGGCTGGAAAGGTTCATCCATGGGTCTTCTGAGAATCAGCCAGGCTACCAAGAACGAGACTGAAACCCTTTTTTCTTCTTTCATTAGTTGACGTTATATCCCCTCTGTCTTGGCCACTACATACAGACTGGGAAAATGACTCAAGATCACAGAGATCACGTAAAAAACAAGTGCTTGGCCCCCCACTGTCTTCTACCATTCGAAGTCACAGCATTTAAATCCTTGCTGCACAGTTCACTGAGTGCAAGGCACTAGAGAATCACACTCAGCTCCTGTTAAAAGAATGTGAAATCAAAGTCTGGAAAGTCCAATAAAACCAAAAGTGTGTTAGTACCTCCTACTATATGGGTCTTCTTATGCATGTCTGGTGATGGTGCTTTTTATTCTTTGCCTGTCTTTCAGGGTATTATGTAACAAGATGATTTGAGACAAGATAGAGCATGCTGCCACAGAAAAAAGGAGAACCACTCCCCTCACCATTTCCCCGGCCTCCCTTCCTTCTCCCTGTGCACTGTCCTCTCTCAAAAGCTCACCCTGATGCTCACAGGATAGATAGCACAGTGAGCTGACTTAACTCACTAAAAGACCAGAAAACTCAATCCAGAAAAATTACAGTAACGTTTTCTGTGGGGTTTGGAGTAGCATCAGTTTACTTTGCAATCCAGTGCCTGACAGTGATGGTACAAACTAGTGAGAAGAAAGGACTGTGCAGCCAAAAGTGGGGGCTGGAGGAGCAGTGAAGGAAGAAAGGAGGGTGGGACCAAGAAATAAGGGAGGAGGGTGAAGGACTGAGACCTCCCTTTCCAAAGCGGAAAACTTTTAAGTTGCAGCATGGAACTGCACCTTTGCCTGTATTTTAAAACCATGCTCTCAGTTCCATATTTATGTGCCTTGTTAAGATCTGCACCTCTAGCCTGGAGTACTTTCACTTCTTCAAAATTATTATTCATATGTGCTGAAGTAGTACTTAGAGACAACCACCGGGTTAAAAAAAAAAAAATTATAAGCCATCACAGATCCTCCTGGCTGATAGTACATAATTTTCTGCTTCAAACTGTTTAGATTCTCAACTGACAAGATCATCAGCTGATGAAAGAAGCAATGTGGTAAAGTATTTTAATTTTATGAATGAAGAATAAAGGTCTCCTAAATCTCCCTGCTGATCCCAAAGGATGTTGTAGCTTAAAATGGAGAGATTGAATGACTGGTTCATGTCAAACAGCAAGCCTGTGGCATGCGAGACTACCAGAGCCCCAGCTCAATGCCTGCACCCAAAGCACTCCTTCACTCTGTAGAGACCGTAAGTTTTACAGCTATGGTAGTAAAGTGGTGACCGGTGTCAACTTTTTAAACTTCCTCATTCTTTAGGTTGTTTGGTTTTTTAAGTCTTGATTGTCAAAATAATTAAAGCATACAAGCTGAAAACTGAACACAATGTGGGCAAGCCACCTTATCTTGTTATGTTTCTTCTGCATTGTGCTGCCCACTGTGGCTGCTCATTAGGATATTTCTGCACAAAGAATAAGAGCTTTCTGTACCCAGGCTCTTGGGTTTGAGCAAGCCATTCACACTCGTGACATTTCAGTCCATAGGGACCTGTTTCTGAAAAGAATGTTAGATTAATCCACATCTTGGGGCACCACAAAATCCTTAATGTAAGGACCATTCTCTCATTTTTAAAGTAGAAGTAATGGCATCAAGGGCAGAAAATGTGAAGATACTGCTTCAGTTATCAGATGGCATCAGATCTGTCAGTATAGAGACTATTGACAAATACAGATTGTGCCCCAATCATTTTACTGTCAGTTTTCCCTAAATCAAAGTTGTAAGTCATTACTAAATGGCAAGAATACCCTCCTTTGGACAATATCCATAAACTGAGGTCTAGTTACTTAAAAAAAATTTACCCTTGGGCTTCTACTTGAGAACAAAATAGAGGCCATATCCATATATATATATATACACGGATAAATACTAAAACATAATCACACTGATGACATCGATCTGTGTGAATACAGAGAAAAGGACAAACCTTTAATGCAGACTAAGTAATGAGGAGATATGAGATTAAGAATCATAGAATGGTTTGGGTTGGAAGGGACCTTAAAAATTATTCAGTTCCAACCACCCCTGCCATGGTCAGGGACACCTTCCACCAGCCCAGGTTGCTCAAAGCCCCGTCCAACCTGGCCTTGAACCCTTCCAGGGGAGGGGAAGCCACTTCTCTGGGCAACCTGAAAGAATTCTAGTGTCTCACCACCCTCACAGGGAAGAATTTCTTCCTTAGAGCTAACCTGAAACTGATCTCTTTCAGTTTAAAATCGTTACCCCTCACCCTATCGCCACACCCTTGATCAAGAGTCCCTCCCCACCTGTCCTGCACCCCCTTTAAGCACTGGAAGATGCTCTAAGGTCTCCCCGGAGCTTTCTCTTCTCTAGACTGAACACCCCCAACTCTCTCAGAAAGAAACAATGTAATAATTAAAGCAATCAGCAACATAATGGAAAATGTATAAATAGTGTACAGCACTGCCAGAGAACAATGGCACTGAACTTCACAATGTGAGAGACTTCTCAGCAGTTTCACTGAAGTTCCTTCCTATGTGACAGTCACTACATCATCTGAGAACAAATGTCTCAAAGAGGGTCTTTTCCTCCCCAAAATGTACTTTGCTTACAAATGAAAATAGATCAGCATCTTTTGCAGCCAGGGTTGCACTCATTATCAATTGTAGAGTGTTGTTTGGTTTGGAATATTTAAATACATATTCAGATATTCAATAAAATGTGAGGTTATGTTTTTTTTTCAGGTTTCCTAGTCAGATAAACCTAATTATTCTGGAGTTTCTTTGAATGATCTTAGAAATAATTAAGATGATCCAAAGTGTCATTTAATCGAATTTATAATTTTCAGTCTTGAGAAGTGAATCTGTAAATGATACTGCATGTACACACAACGGGTCCCCGTCAGACAAAGGCCATTGCTGCCATCTGCTGAGGAAGAGAGAAAATGGGCCATAAATGGCCAAGTGTCAAAAATCCTTTCCTGTTGGCCACTTCAGGGAGAAATTCCTGCAGAGGTGATGCCAAGCAAGGCCAGCTCACCACGATCCACAGGGCGAAAAACTTAGATCCATAATTTTTATCTCAACTCCTCCTAGAGCAAAACTGAAAGAAAAACAATGGAGCCCAGCGGTTTGTTACAGTCTTTGCGTGGTTATGTTTAGCGCATGGAGCGGAGGGAGCAGCGCAACCGCTTTCCAGGGAAACATCTCCGTGTCGTGACGGGGGCAATGGCCGCGGTTCTGATGTGCAGGAGCACCACACTCCATGGGATCACCACATGCCCTACGATCACTACCTACCCCCTGATCACACACTACATGATCACTGCGTAATTCAGCGATTAATTTAAGAATCGTATTGGCAGATCCCGATCTACAGTGTGCTCCCCCCGAGCAGCCCGTGTCTCCCAGCAGCTCCCAGCGCCCAGCCCCGAACGCGATCTCAGGGCAGCGGGGGAGCCCCCGGCCTGCAAACGCCAGGCCTCTCGCTCCCTCCGCCACAGGGGTCTGGCTTTGCCGCCTCAGCAGCGGCTCCTGGTGAGGGAGCCCCGCACCCTGCTGGGGTTCACAGCAGCGGCCGGGTTCCCCGCCATTACACGCCCCCCACCGCCGCCCCCCGCACCGCCTCTGAGAGGGCCCGCCTCCCCGGCGAGCCCCTGCGGCGAGTGGAGCAAAGCTTCTGACGGATGTTCGGGAGAGCCAATCAGAGCGCGCCACCCCGAGGCCGGCGAGCCCACGGCGGGGAGGGAAGGGGGCAGGCGGCCGGAAGCGGGGCGCTGGCGGTTGCGCTGAGGGGGCTCGGCGGGCAGGTGAGGGCCGGCGCGCGGTTCTCCGCGGGCGCGGAGCGGGGTTCCCTCCTCCTCCGCCGGGCGTGTGGTCAGTCGCCGATAGGGTCTTGCCGTGGCGCGCCCCCGGCTCTTTGCTGTCCAGCAGTGGCCTGACGAACCGGGGCTGGGCCTTCCCAGAGCCTGACGCAGCCTGGTGCGGAGCAGGTCGGCGGCGGCCGCAGCCTCCCCTGAGGGCAGCGCTTGGCCGCCGTTGCCTCTCCCGCGGCGTGGTGTTCGCGGGCCAGGCCTCGACGAGGGAGGGGGTCTCCCCTCCGTTACTGCTGTGTTTACAGGCTGGCCTTTCATGGTTGGAGAAGTGCGTACTGTATGTGCTTCTAGGGAGGTTAATCCTGCTGGAAGTATACCTTAGTGGAAAGCTACCTTAGTGGATTTATTCGAGAGTTTCCTGTATTCTACACAATGAGATAGCTTTTTTTTTTTTTGGCTTATTTTCTCGCAGCCGGCTCTCTTATATTGCATTTCTTTCTATTGATATAATAAGATTGTCACACAAACTGTTTAACATGTATTTCTTGGGACGTTCCCTAGGTATTTTCGTCTGGCTAAAATGGGTGAACCTCAGCAAGTGAGTGCCCTCCCTCCACCTCCAATGCAATACATAAAAGAATATACTGATGAAAATATCCGTAAAGGACTGGCTCCAAAGCCACCTCCACCAGTGAAAGACAGTTATATGATGTTTGGTAATCAATTTCAATGTGATGATCTGATTATTCGACCCTTGGAGAGCCAGGGTATTGAAAGGTTACATCCTATGCAGTTTGATCACAAGAAAGAATTAAGAAAGCTTAATATGTCTATCCTGGTCAACTTTTTGGACCTCTTGGATATCTTGATAAGGAGTCCAGGGAGTATAAAGCGAGAGGAGAAACTGGAAGACTTGAAACTACTTTTTGTCCATGTCCATCATCTTATAAATGAGTATCGCCCTCACCAAGCTAGGGAGACACTGAGAGTCATGATGGAGGTGCAGAAACGTCAGCGTTTGGAAACAGCAGAGCGATTTCAGAAGCACTTGGAGCGAGTTGTAGAGATGATTCAGAACTGCCTGGCTTCCTTGCCTGATGATCTGCCTCATTCAGAGGGAGGACTGCGAGTGAAAGCAGAAACAATGGATACTGAGGATGGCAGCAACTGTATTGGACAGAGTGAGAAGCAGAGAGAGCGTTCTGGTAGCAAGAGAGATCAGGTTTTAGACAAAGATGCAGCTATGTGTAGCATTATTGATGAAATGACATGAAGAAAACGGGTTTTTTTGTTAGCTCACCACAGTGAAAGGCAGAATGGATTCTGAGGGTATATGTTGTATTTTGTTTTGTTGTTGTAAAGTAGGCAAAGCATTTATTGTACACCTGTTGGACATTATGAGTGACTAGGCAGATGGAAATGTTTAATATTTTGCGAGCTGTGTGTTTATTGGTAGAAGCAAAAAAGTACACTTTTTGTTAATTGCATCCTGTGAGGTGGTAGCCACAGATTAAAGTTAGCTTTTTCTGTTGTACTTTCATTTGTCACTTTGTGCTTTTTGGCATATGCTGCTTTTTTTTTTTTTTTTTATTAAAATTGCTTTATAGTGTGGAAGCAAGTAAGGGATCTGACTCAGGAATTGCAGTTGACAGTTCCTCTATTTCAGATAAGTGCTAGCTGTTTACAATTTCAGTGGGTCCTTTCAGGAATGTGTAATTCAATATTAAAAATAAAATTAGTGTGAAATCTGCAAAATCCATTCCTTTCTGGTTCTGTAATAATATAATTACTAAAGAGAATCTAAGAATTCCTTCATTACAGTTGTAATGTGGTGTAGTTTGCCTTAGAGACGCACTGTCAGGAATCTCCACAACTGAATGAATTAAAATTAATTGGATTTTAATTTTCTTAGATGTAAATCATAACCAGTCTTGACCTTACAAAAATGCCAACTTTTTTTTTTTTTTTTTACAGATAGATGATGAGACTAATACATATTTCCTGCATAGTTAATATACATGCATGAAGTGAATCATTTTGCAGCGCAGATGCTTTGTATTTGCATTTTAGGTGGGCTCTGTGCCCAGCTGAGCATTTTTCTCAGGAAGGAGAGTCTGACTGGATAATTAGCCTTTATACTAATCGAGAACTTTATAAGTTTGAAAGCACCTGCAAGTATTCCATCAAGTGGAAGCGATATCAATCATGTTTAAAGAACATTTCAGTTGGACCACCCCACATACCAAGAGGAAAAGAGTGATTTGATAGTGAAGTGGCTTTTTTTACCCTGCCCCTCCTGTCAGGGAAATTCTACTTCCTTCCTTTTGTCATATAACACCAGTATGTATGTTTTTCAAAGTGTGTATAGCAACTAAAAACCAGGTGAACTTCATGGGTGAAGGAACTTGTACAAACACTGTTTTTAAACTCTGATTTAATGGGCTGTGTCTCTTTCATTTGGCAATTCTGTTATTTTCAGAAATGTTACTTAAATGGGCAGGCAAAAATACTTAGCTGCTGGGTGGTGAGGTTTGAGCTCAGTACAGATAAAGCAAAGCAAGTTTATGACTCACTGGAGGACATCATCTGCTATTTTAAGAGCATGTGACATCGTAAGTAACAATAAAGAAGTAGAAACTTTTTTTTTAATGTAGAAATAATTTTACAAAGTTAATGCTTTTGTCCTTTATTCAACTACCACTGTTTCCTTCCTTCTCCCTGGACAAGATATAAATTAGCTTGTAGGTAACTAGAACAGTTGCAAGTGAGCAAAATCAATTTGGTATCTATTTTGCAAATGTTTCATGTGGAAGATGTAAAGGAACATTTAGTGCCTGATGGATAAGAGAGGTTGTGCACTGTGGAACTACAGCTTGTCGTGGGTGTTTTAACTTTGCCATTCCAAAGAAAAGTTATAGATGCTCAATGGTTTTCTGTTGATTTTTGTCTAATTTTTATGCTCTTAATACACAGGCCTGGGTACCATAGTTTCAAAACACTGCACAAGCTGGGTCCTACCAGCAACTAACAACCGCAATGAACTTTTTTGTGAAACCATTGAGGTAGATGGGGATCATGTGATTTAAAAAATATTAAAGCTGCTTTCACTTTCCAGAAAGTTTCATGAATAATTTGTTTATTCTGTGTTATTTTTTTGTATATTTAAGTCAAACCCTTAGAAGGCTGTGGGATACTGCTTCGGCTTTTTACAGCCAAAACACCTTTTCCTCTGTTGTCAGGTCAAAGCAGTGATAGTGTTCCTTTTTTCTGCTACAACTTTGCTTTTGGAAAAACAACAGTCTGTAGCTTCAGTGAAGGCAGTGGGTGGCATATGCCTGTTAGTCTGGGGAAATCAGCATTTTCTAGGGTGGTGTGACTTGACTAGCCAATTTAATTATAAAAGCTGTCTTATCTGGTATTAATGCTCCTGATGATGAGATCTTTCCTTACCTCAGCAAATCCTGATTTTATTTTTGAATGTGATAACATTTGAAGTATTCTACCCTGGAAATGTTAATGTATACAATATGTGTTGGATTATATATGCCTTATGAAACTTGATGAGATAAAGTTAGCACCAGGTGTTAAGCAGCATTTTGTTGGATGCTTCTTTTAATTAAAAAAAAAAAGAAAAGAAAAGAAAAAAGCCCAGCCTTTCTATTACACTATTTGAACAAACACAGGGATAACAGAAGTACAGTTACAGAAAAGTTCTAGAAGTTTCTTGATACAGAGAAGCCAAGTGTGTCACCAGTGGATGAAAAGGGAAAGTTTGTAGCTCTGATCATCTAGGGGAAAAACAAGAAAAGCTAATGATATGGCTTTAAAATAGTGTAATAAAGAGATGTTTCCAACAATGCTTTAAACTTATTTCAATATTTAATGTTCTGGTTTGGTTTTATTTTCATGAAGTATGATCTGACAATATGCTGACTGAAGAAAAAATGTGCAGCTACTTTAAGGGCTGCATGAAAAAGACGATGTTGACACTTTCTACAGAAATGGTACTCATTTATTGCACAAACAAAAACCAGGAACTTTGAAAACAGGCATGTAGAAACTTAGGAATTATATCAAGGCGTTCCATATGGTCTGTGTTTGAGATGAAATCCAAAGCAAGTGGTCTGACTGTTGCCCTGTAGCTTTTGCATTCCCTTACTATGTGACCAGAACGGCTTTCCTGGGGATGCAGACAGCACCCGAACATGGGTGAAGTGAGTAGAATGGGCTCAGGCAGAACTCTGGGATAAATTTCCTTAATTTCTTACCCTATTTATTTATTTTAGAGCTTAGATGTGGCCCAAGCAGAGGAGGAATCCACGCAGGCAGCACATTATTGCAGGTAACTGGCGGAAGGGATGCGCCCTGGTCTGCGGGTGGATGTTTGTTGTACGCTGAACCACCAAGATTTGTTCATCAGCCGGTGCTGTGCACTGCCATGGCACAGCTGTGGTGAATGTGGTCACCTGCTGTCTGCCAGAGCCAGGCTGTCCTGCCTTTCCCATTTGTGCAGAGCAGTTTCAGGGTCCTGCTGTTAATGATCAGAATTGTTCCTGTAGCAGCTATCTGCAGTATCCTGTTTCCCCAGAAACACGAGGAGCAAAGAGGAAGCGTTTTCTTAAGAGTCCTGCTTCTACCCACTGCATGCAAAAGTCCCCCTTTCTCTTTTCATCTATTAGCTCTTTCCTATGGGTATGTTGCTAGTGTTTGTCTCTTGTCTACTTTAATCCCTTGTTTCTCTTCCTTTTTACTTAAAGAAACTAACTTTGGTGACTGCTCTCACATAAGGTAATCAGTGCTAGACAGCTCTGTTGGTTCTGATTCTAGCCTACCATGTTTTTGGAAGCATTTCTGCAGTTTCAAGTTATTGATAAAAAAGTAACTCCTTACAACTCTGATTTTGTCTGTATAAAACAGTGTGAAGTAGATTAGTTACTTCAGCAAAGAAGATTGGTTGGCCCTAGATCAAATACACTTGATCACAGCTGCAGTTCTCATCCAAAAAAATAGAAAAAGACAAGATGTCCTCAAAAAGAGTTTAGGTAATCCAGGGACAGGGAGAGTGGCCAGGGAGCACCATTTCTCAGCAGCTGTATTTCAGCAACATTTTGTCAAAGTGAGCCTTGAGCCTGGGACAACAGGTTTTCCACACTAGTTTTAAAGTGACCTCTGTATTCTGTGTGTGTTACTTTATATTGCAAAAGCCCAGGTGCATACAGAATTTTTAAGGTTCAGATGATGAAAGACTGCAACTCTATGAGGCTACCACAGCTGTGTAACAGTAGGGCAGCTTTCCATGTACTACCAAGTTATAGCCTACAAATGAAATAACATTTGCCTAAAGATGCTCTGAGCTGCCTCTAAGTGTTAGAACCAGAAGCTTATGATTAAATACTTGAGTAATTCTTCCTAGGAATCTGTTATTTTACAAAGTCCTTTCTGTTTGCCACAGTCTGTTACATATCCTCTGTATGCTCTTACCCATATTCTACTATGGCAAAAAAAAGGTGTGGGAAGCAGTGTAGGGCAATGGACTACTGATAGTTGTGTCAGTTTGGTGGAGCTGAGAAGTTCCATCTACTGTAATCAGGCAGATCTGGAAAAAATGAGAAGTAGATTTCTGAAGTACTGCTAAGTATCTCAGCCTTTTGGTCAGACCACAGTCTGGGAGCGTTCAGCAGTGTGCACTGCAGCAGCAGCGCTTGGCTGTGCTGCTAGAGACTAGCAGACTAACCACAGGAAAGTCGATCTGAATTAGACTAAAGGACATTCCCAGCTGTGTCTGAAGATGGCATACTAAGAAGTGAAACCATAAGTTTATGAAGAAGATAGTTTTTCTTGAATGTAGGTGCTCAAAGGGTGAAGAGGAGTGTCACATTCAGCCACCATGTCGTCTTGTTTCTGTATTAACTGGATTCTTCTGGTGCTGTTTACAGGTAACTAAGTGGGCCTAAACAAATAGGTGGAGGTAACATGCATCAATGTTTCTGAGGTTTGCAAAGAGCGAGACTTTTTATTGCAACAGGAAGAGTGGCTACACGGCACAGAAACTGCAGTTCCATGTTATGAATAGAACTTTATCACAGTGGCGCGATAGTATTTTGATGGCCTTATCTCCTTTTTAAAGCAAAATTATACTGAGGTATGATGGATTTAAAGATGCTGCTTCTTGGGCTGTTTGATAGTCTTATTAGTGAATGATCTTTTGGGTTTCTTAGATAACGGTCATCTGAGGTGAGCAGAGAACTTTAAATCATTTTTAAAAAGATGTGAAACAAGGATATTTCACTTCAGCAGGCTTTCTGAAGGTGAATGCTTAGGAAGATAGGGAAAAGTTCAGCTGTGGCTTCTGGTGTTTTTTAGTCAATATGAAATTCTTCTGAGACAAATTGATAATTTCTCCTTTTTTATTCTGAGAAAGCAGTTCCAGGAAAATATCGTTAAAGGCAATAGCACTGAAAACAAAATGTTGCAGAGTGGTACTAGTATAGGCAGACAGACATTAAAGATTTGGTGGTAGAATATGTTCAGTAGAAAGAAAAAGTATATTACAGATATTATTTCCTCTACTTCTTCATAAAGCCTTTTATGATGAGATTCATTTAGAGCTTGCTTTTTTATATTAAGTAAAATACATTATTTTCAGGTAATAGTTTCTAGTATGCTATTGTAGCAAAGTCTCTGAGTGTAGACTTATTTTTAACTATAATAGGCTAGGTTAGGAAAATGACTGAGCTGAGCTGGGGAAAAAAGCTTTTTCACAAGGGACAATTGCAATCAAGTCATACAGTGTTTAGGATCCACTGGTGCATGCTGTCAGACCTACCTCGGGGAACTCCCATCCTAATTATAGACCGGGCTAGACTTTTAATAGAGATAATTTGTTGCCTGTACTTGCTGCAGATAATTCTATCCCTGAAATGTTAATACGGATAGATCGAAATATTTACACATGTGATCCCACGTTACTGAATTTGGTAAGAAATATGTAGTTGTAAGTATATGACAAACAGTTTTCTGTGAAGTACAAGCAGACAGAATGTGCACCTCAGGAGCCCCACTGTGTAACCTGTTAGAAGAAGATGGTCATAGGATGGCTATGACTGCATCCCCAGGGCTCAAATGATTTTGGCTGGCACTTAATACAGCTTTTATTAAAACCCTCCTAAAGAAAATATTGACTGGAGTAGTCTAAATACAGCAAAATAAACTATCTCACTGTGATAAATGGGCTACTGGCTGCTAGGTCTCAGTGTTTTGACTTGAATAGCATGACACAGCCTTCTGGAAACATGAAAAATTACTTTTAATGGGAACCAAACGATTTAGAAACTGTGTAAGAATGAGGTAAGAAAATCAGGTTGCGAAAAAAGAGGGTATAAAATTTCTCAGAAAAAACTCTGAAAAAATCTCTTCTGATAGAAATAAGCAAAACCTATCATTAGACAAGAAAAAAAGAAATGTGTTCAGCAGTGATCATTCAGATGAAACCTGTCGTTTATGGCTTTTCATTGAAAGGGAGAAAGAGTTTCCCACAGTGGTTTTAATGAAAATCAGTGTCTCACTGTTCCCCCATGTGTGGTTTAGATTAAATCTGAACTAAAGAAAAACATAAAGAGCTAACAGACTGGACATGGCTAAAGAGAAGCCACGGAGTTGTGCAGATCCAAACTTTGTTTTCTTTTCACCCCTCTGCCTACCTGAAGAGGCTGCAGAAAGTGTGTTTCTTGTTTCTCTGGCTAGAGACACTTTCTGAACAAGTTACTGACCTGACCATTATCCTTCACTGCGTCAGTCCTGCCGGAATTCATGTCTATTTGTGGAAAAACTGATTCAGCAATGCCTGGTGATGTTTGCAAGGTGGGAGGTATTGGGTCATGCAAAGTGTGCGAGAAGCTTCCACTTGTGTGCACTGTGCTCAACAACCACTTTTGTCTTTTTGTCCACAGGGCCCACGGTATTGGCATCACTTGTGAAAGGAAAGGTTGGTCAGGATATTACTGTGCCATGCTTTTACAATGTTAAGGGGACACAAGACATCACATCAATGTGCTGGGGTCGTGACCACTGCCCTGTTTCAAAATGTTATCGGACCATTATCTGGACAGATGGATGGAAGGTGACAGAGCAGTACAACAGCAGGTATATGTTGAAAGGGGACCTGCAAAGCGGCGACGTGTCCCTCACGATCGTGAGCGCCGAGGAGGCGGACAGTGGGATATACTGCTGCCGCGTGGAGATCTCAGGGTGGTTCAATGATCAGACAAGTAATCACAAGGTTGTGATAGAGAGAGGTGAGTGTGGGGGTCCTCTCTTGTGTCAGTACTATTGTGGTAAATCTGCTGTTGAGTTTAGATTTCAAAGCTTATGGTGGAAATTATTTCTGTAATCATCCACAGGACTGGTCTTTAGGACTTTGCAGATCTGCTGTTAGTGCTGCTTAAATTAAGCTGTCTTTGGTATTATTGTGATCCCAGCACTGCCACTGTAATTAAAAAAAGGATATGGTGCTTTGTTTCATGGTGCATGGCACTACTGAGCTTTCTTAGATGCACTATTTGAAGAATTTAGGAGAAAGTGCAGCATAGGGTACTTCATTCATCTGAAGCGCTATACTTATACCCTTTTAATAGAAAATAGTGTTTCATTTTCCTTACTTGATTCCAGAGTAAAGCACAGGAACACAAAATTAGAGTGGACAATTTTTTTTTATCAACTCTTCTTTTTGATTTTTAGTTTTTCTCTTGTTTGTAAAAAGCATAGTAATATATGGATCAAGTGGATGACAGATGTGTAGCTCGTGCTAGCAAATTTTTATTATAGAAACACTTTCTCTTTTTTCACTATAGAAATGCACACTGAGGTTAATTATAATGTATGTTGGTTTTGTTTTATTTTTTTAACATCAGCTAGGATCTCTACTGCAAGTCCTCACACTTACATCTCTGAACAGACCACAGGTAACTTTTATCTAAGTATTAATCTCAGTAGCATGAGCTATATTGCAAATGGGAATTTTAGGAAGGAAACAAAATGATAGATGATAGAAATGTCTTGACTAAAATTTTCTAAACATTACCATAGAGCCAGAGATCACAACTTGGATTTAAATTCCACTGGACAGTATATAGACAGTTTAACAGAAAGAACATGTATATGTGTGTGGCAACAATGTGGAGGTTTGCTTCCAGCTCTTACACTTAAGTAGGTGTTTTATTGGTGCTGCAAGAATTTTTTTTTTTCTTGTGGCTGTTGTTTTGGTATGTTGTTTTATTTGTGGTATAAAATCTCACCTTGTCTTCTGGAAATAAATTCCATGAACAGCAAAACACAAATTTTTAGGAGTTGGGTGTACCCACTATTTAATCAATTTATTTGTTGCTCTATAACATAGAGCTGTTTTATTGGGCTAGCTCAAAAGTGCATCTAATTCAGGATCCTATCTCATTAGTAGTCAACAACAGATGATTAAGGAGGATTGTAGAAACAGGGTAGTAATTTTGTGATACAGCACGAAAGTATTCTTCTACCCTGTATAATGTATGTCTCGGAAGCTGCCCACATCCTCTGGAGCCCATGCATATTTAATAATGTAAGGCCCCTCATTATAGTGGAAGAGACAGTGAACAACTACTCCTCACGGTTTCTCCATTCTACTCACAAGTTCATAGACTTCTATTGTATACTCACTCAGCTGCATCTTTTTCAGTCTGAAAAAGACAACTTTAATTTCCAGTACACAAGAGAGAGCTCATAGTGTAACAATAGCTTATTCTCTGGATTTTGAAAGAAAAATCAAGGATGCCGTTTGTATTTCTCCCTCCATCTCGGATATTTCCAGCTAAGCAACTCTAAAATGTTACAACAGTTGCATTTCCTTTTTTCGGAAGAAGAAGTGAAAACTTTCTCAGACTGTTTCTGTTCTAGTTGCAAATAACATGTCTTCCAATCTTAGAACTCACGGGTTTTCTTAACCCTGTGATATCTTCCTTAGCTGCTGGTGGAACAATTTTTTATGTTTTCAGAATATAAGTTAATATGTGCATATTCACACAGAGGGAGACGGGAAAAGGCAGGTGGCCATGTGCCTCTGGCGTAGGAATACTTCAGTATCTTCAATGGAAGAGAACAGTGAAGCAGCTGATTCTGTCCTCTTCAGTATAAAGCTTCTGGAATAAGGGTAACAATTTAAAACATCAAAGGAGCCAGCTGGGGTTGTCATAGCATGAACAGGAGATTTTTTTTTCAGCAGGGTTGTATATCATCTGACAACACATGGAGAAACTGAGACTGATATGGAAGACAAAAGTTTGTAGCTCTGAATTTTAAATACTGCAAACAGCTTTGCTCTAGGAAATTACCTCAAAATACGCTGCAGGTCCTTATGCAGACATACCACACTTTGGTCAGTCTGTTTATTGTCTAGCTGTTCAGGACTTTACAAGTATCCCTTGCTTTCTCTAACTCTGTACCAATTGCTCTTTCAAGGCCCCGAGCTAACTTTAATCAGTTTTCATCAGATAACCTAAGTTTGCTTTAGGCATCCACTGCCTCTTCTTGGCTCCAACAACAGATGCCTAACTTGGTAACTCCTTCCTTCTAGGTTGTGTTGAGATAACAGCAGGAGATAAGTGTTTTCTGAAAAGGGCAGCAGAGGCTCCAATATTGAGAGTTTAGTGCTGCCCTCTGAAGGCACCATCCTCTTTATGATATGCAGAGCCAGGACTCCTGATAGATACTTAAGTTCAGTGGTCCTGAGTCAGCAGTTCAAATTCTTCTCTGTCAAGGCAGAATGGTACTCTGTGCAAGTGATGTGTTTCTCTTGCTTTTGCTCAGCTCATGGGAGCACCAGTGAATCATCCTTTACTGTCACAAGAACATGGCCATTGATCTCTGCTTCGGAAGCTCCTCAGACTGTAAGCATCTCTGTTGTGTTATAGCATACCTAGACAAAGTGGATAGACATGAGAGGCTATTGGGTCATCCCTACAGTTCACTTGTACTGCTTTAGTTTGATTGCAAAAGAATATTTTTTTTTCAGTCTGCACATTTAGTGTTTATGAAAAAATTCTTATGTGCTCATTATTAAAGAGGGGGAAAAAATTATCTCCTTTGCATGCACAAAGTACTTATTAATGCAGGAAGAGCTTTAGCAACATCTATATTGCTTTTCAGGCCTATGGTCCCTGTTCAAGCACCTCAGGCTGCTCGGATGTAACCACAAACCTACAGGTATGGCAGGATAGGGGGAAGAGTTGAAATTGGACCATCTGGCAGCACATGGTTGCCCTGCACTCCCTGTGCGATGAGGTTCAAACAGGCAGCTCCGTGTCTGTCCTGCTGAGTCCTCCAGCACATATTGCAGGCTGACAGGCAGTAATATCACTAAAATTTTATCAGGAAGTACAAGCCAGACAAGCCAGCCTTTGGGAAGGCCTGCTGTGACATTCTACAAGGCGGTATGTGCTGTGGGCATTTGTACTGCTGCATGTGCAAAATGTCAGTCAGGGTCAATACTGCACTACAGCATCTTTCCAGGCCTGAGTTCCTGATGAGAGATTAGATATCTAACATCTGGCTTCAAAAAGAATTTTTGCCTAAATAAAGACCAGTGCAAGGAGAAGACATATTTACTTGTTGGTATAAAGCCTTGAATAACTACTGAATAAACTGACAAAAAGGTGGGAGGGCATGACATAAGGTGATATTGTAATCCTAAAAAATAAAATATTCACCAAATAGTATTAAACCTGAACAACTGCATTTGTTGTAACTTTGGGTCCTTTGACAATCTCAAAAAATAATGTGTTTAACACCTTGGTTCATGCTACTTTTGCACTGATTCTGCTTGAATCTAGTCCTGTATCTCAAACTAGGCTCTTGCCCTCAAGTGTACTCTTACTTCAGGGTTGCAAAACACACAAATGGCCTGTGGGTACTGTATGGGCTTCTTGCTCTCAGTGACACTAATGCTTATCTGTTTCGTGTTTCACAGAACGTGTCTGTATCACTTTCTGGTCAACAATATTCAGAAAATGGGCTGTACATTGGGATTGGTTTATGTGCAGTACTTCTTGCCATCCTTATTTTGGCTCTGTTCCTCACTAGACGTAAGTACTTTTCACAGGTGGATATTCGAGGATTGGTCAAATATGTCTGATCACAGCTGTGGCAGATGCCCCATGTCTTCTGCTTTAGGGAGGTGAGCTAAGGTCTCTGGATGGCCTCACTCTGTGCCCTGTGCTGTGGTTGCTTGCTCAGCTCTGCCTCTCAGCCTCTGGGGCACAGGACGGCAAGGTGCAAATGTGGGCTCATCGTTTTATGTCTCAGACTCCTCCACAACCAGTTGGCCCAGGGTCTAGTGAGGAAATGTGTGATACAAACCCCCCTCTTCTGCCCCACTCTTTTACTCCTACCTGTTCCTCAGCTGCCATGTTGTCCCAGTCCTTCCCAATGATAATGGGAGGGGCACTGGCTTCATAGAACTATATCAAATATTCTTCTGTGTGCCAGATGTTCTGCATAGAGGCTTTTGGTCAGACCAAGCCATATGAATTGGATCTCAGGGAAATAATGGGGATTTCCTATACTGAAAACATTTGGTTAAAGTTCCCTTATTTAGCTTCTCACACTTGAAATTTTTTTTTTTTTGAACATGCTACTTGCTTCTGATGGTTTAAGGAAAATTATGTTTTCTTTCTTTCTTTCTTTCTTCACTTTCATTCTGGATGGTCCTTAGAATATTTATACAATACAAAGAAGACGCGTGACTTTACAAAGTAAGTATTCTGTTACTGCCTTAGCTAATAGGACAAACTAGGTTGCTGACCACTCCACTACGTACTTTTACTTTCTTTTTTAATCTCGAGTTAATAGGAAACATTGCAAAATGAGATTAATAAATCCTGCTGCTTATGATTAGTTAGTAAGTAAAAATTAGTATAATGATCAATTCACTGCATTAGGGAGCATGCAAGCTTAAGTGTGGGATGTCTCATCAATGGAAAAATGATTCATTATCAGTCATGTTTAAATAAGTGGTTTTGCATATTTTGCATTTTTCTAGTGTGTCAGTTGATTTAGCCAGTTGTTTTTCTATGTTTCTATTGTCTGTTTTTTGTTTAACATCATGTTTTTTACACTTTTGTGCAGCTTTATTGCATTTTGGAGGCCACAAGGTGCAGGGAACCATAGTGCCCTGGAAGATGAGATCCATGCAGAGGAAAACATATATATAATACACTAAGGACTATATGCATGCTTGCCTTTGTCATCGCTGGGACATTAAATAGTTTGCAGAATGTTAGCTGTTCCCTTTCCTCAGCAGCTAAATGTGACTGGACTACTGAAGCATTATTCACATCATTCTAATGAGACAAATAAAAGCTACACTTTTAATTAAAATTTTTATCAGCCTGTTCCAGAAACAGAAACTCTACTGGCTTGAATGGAAATTTCCAGAATCCACTTATCAAACCCTAAAGAAAGTTACCATTATGTTTATTATCTGCTTCAAATTCTCTCTTCCTTTTTGGGGAAAAGGAGTAGCCATTCTGGCATTTCTTCACCACAAAAGGAAAAGCACCCATATTCTAAAAGAGTTTGGCTTTACCGTGTACCGTATCTGCCAGCCACAAAAGAGTCCATGTCATCAGAGAGCAGAAACAATCTCATAGCTGCCCTGACAAAGATGACACATGGAAAAACTTAGTAGTATTAGTATTTCAGTATACATTTAGTTGAATTTTCATTAGATGGGTATACCCAGTCCTAATAACAGCTCAGTAATGCAATGTACATGCTCAACCCATCATGAGATGTCCTTGGAGCCTACAGAATCAATGTGCAGAATATTCACAGCTTGTTTTCAGAGAACCATGACTAAGTGCATTTTCCTGTGCAAAATATATCACCTATTGTCTTTGTGGCTTTCTCCTCAGGCACGCCTATGCCCTGAAAAGTCCTCAGGGTGGAAAGTCTCACTTTCAGGCCTCTAAAACAACTGAACAAAAAATAACTACTTAAAATAACTACTTTGTAAAGTTAATTAAATTCTCGCTTTTCTTACCTCGTGGAAAAGTCATGGACATTGCACAAAATATTGGCTGAAAGTTTGCTCTGCCTTTACACCCCTCTAGATACTAAAGAAATCTAATGTCTTACGCTGAATTTGTTTGATGGTTTTTAGCTGATAAATGGGAAATATCTGTGGCCTAGTGCCTTTCTTACATTGCTCCTTAGTTAGAGTTGGCTCTCAGCTTTTATTCTCTGCAACGCTAAACTTTGGTTTACTTAAATAAATTGAGGCAGCCCCATGAAGATGAATCAACACTTTCTGCATTGTTGAGTAATAGATATATTGTGGTTTGAACATGGCTGGCAGCCGAACACCACGCAGCTGCTCACTCACCCTCTTCTACCCCGGGGAGTGGGAGAGAGAGTTGCAAGGGTAAAGGTAAGGAGACTCGTAGGTTGAGAAAAAAAAATAAAAACAATTTAATAATTGAAATAAAATTAAAATTATAGTAATAATAATAGAAAATACAGATGAGTAATGCACGATGCTATTGCTCACCACCTGCCGACTGCTGCCCAGCCTGTTCCCGGCTAGTGATCCTAGAGAAGAGAGAATCCTGAAACCCCAGTCCTGGAAGCAAGAGCGAGCTTCCTGATCAACCCTCATCTATATACTGAGCATGATGTTGTATGACACAGAATATTGCATTGGCCCATTTGGGGCCAGTGCTCTGGCTGTGCTCACTCCTAGCTTCTTGTGCACCTGCGCATGAGCAGGACATGGGAAGTTGGAAAGTCCTTGATTTCTTAGCAACTACTAAAACCATCAGTGCATTATCAGCATTTTTCTCATACCAAATCCCATATTGCATCCAAACCACAGCACTATTCTAGCTACTAAGAAGGGAAAAAAAAAAATTAGCTCTATCCCAGCTGAAACCAGGACAAGACACAACACACCCAAATCAGCTTTAAGTGGAAGAATATTTTTCCCCAATCATTTTTAAGAACACATTTTTAAACAGAGTCTGGGGACTTCCTGAGAGAGCAGAAATGTAGTGCAAGCAGGAGAGAGATCAACTGCTACCAAATATTGATCAGTGCAAATTTTGCCCTGAATCTCATCCCGAGCAGCAGTGTGAAATACTTAAAGCAGACATTGTTGCCACAGGGAAGACTTGCAGGTTTACTGTAAGCTTCCTATCACTGTGTTCATCATATTTTAGGCAGTCATGTGAAGAATGAAGCTGTATTATCAAATGAGGTGTAAAGGAGCAATAATAAAATCAGTAGGTGTTTATGTTAACAGCTGAGGCACTTGGGGCCACAGTCTGGTAGTACTTTAAGGGGACTTGGGGTCAGTGAAGTTGTTTTCTGTCCTTCCCCCAGCTGGTAGAGATGGGAGGGTTTGAGCAGGCTGGGGAGGAGGAGTATTTTCCCCCAGCAGTCCTGGAGATCCTGGCTGAGGTGGGGTACTGCAGGTGAGTGTGCTTGCAAAGAGTCACAAAGGAGGGAAAGGCTCCTCATCCTGCGGAGGAAGGAAGAAATGGAAAGCCAGTTGGGATAGGTGATCCTGGTGTGCTTTGTATTTTAACTTGTACTGTGTGTTGTCTTGGGGCAGGCCTAGAAGGTTGAAAATGTGGAGGTGAATTCATGGTTGACTGAAGAGCTCACTGTGGGAGCAGAGATATTAGGTGATTACTGATCCCTAGGCCAGGAAATGCGGCGGAGAAAACCTGCTCTGCCATTTTCTGTCTTCATGTCATGTGTTGCCTTGTGTAAGAAGATACCAAAACTAGAAAGAACCTGCTAGTGTTAGACTGTATTTTTATGTTTTACTATTAGTAACAATTGCTAAACTAAAATGACTGACCCCACTGCAGACATTGCTTTCCTTCTGCTTGGCTGAGCACGTTGCCGTTGTGGGCTCTAGCCCATGACTGGAGCTGGAGGAAGTTTAATCTGGTCTCTGAACTAGATCTCAGAAAACATCTTCAGCAATTTCTGCTTCTGCAACTTTTATCAGATCAATCTCTACTGAGATTAGAGTTAGACAAGTATGAGGTTTCCAAAATTATCTGATTCCAACCCCTCATGCTCTTAAGGAGTTTGAGAGCCATCCTTGAAGTCTGCTAATCATGCAGACTGCTTGCCCATAAGGATTTTTTTCTTAATATTGCAGACTAATTCTTATATCAGAGAGTTTTAATGCAAAATAAAGTTCTAGAATATCTGACAACCAGAACTTCAATTAAAGTCTACTTTTTGCCGTGCAGTTACTTGGTAAACAGACTCTGCAAATGTTGTGCAGAGCAAGAACTTCACCTTGGATATGCAGTATAATACATACAAATACATGCAGGCAGAAGCTCCCTGTACTTTTTCATTACTTCTACTTGTGTCAGTGGATTTTGGAACAGGCATTTCAAAATAAGCCCCAGAGATGTGCAGGTGGCGCTTGGAGCCCGTTCACCCGTTTAGAGAGTATGCAGCTGCACACAAACTGGTGGCACATTGAGCATGATAAGGCTAACTAATGAGCTGCAAGCTGATTTTTTTTTTTTTTTTTTGATGCAGTTCTCTGCCATTCCTTTTCTGCCTGCAAGAAGCCACTAGATAGCAGTACAGAAGCAGAAAGCAAGTCACATTTTTCTGGTTCTTAGCACGCTTGGGTTTTTGGGTGGCCTTTTTCAATTTACTTTGCTGCATTTAGCCCAGTCTTGCTAAAGAAACAAAGCTGATACGATGACAATGCTGTGTTCATTCTCTTCCTTCCCTAGTCACCTGCAACATACCGACCAATTCTGTTTTGACAAGCTTCATGGAAATTGGTAGCTGGATAAAGATCCAAATTTGTGCTCCAGATGAGATTCAGCTGCTCCCGGCACTGGCATCAGCTGGTCATGGGCTTGCAGCCACTGTTTAATGGTGATCAGTGGGAGACAAAGGAGGGACTGGGATCATTGCAGGGAAAAAGTCTCCAGGATATTGGACGCATCAGGTTTCATTAGTTGTTCACAGAACAGCTGGGGCTGTGCGTACTTGGCATTGTATGAACTGTACCTGGTAGAATATAGTAAATTAGATATTTTACTGATTGCTGGTTAGCCTGCCTTATAATGTTGACAATAAGACACTGCCGTATTGTTTTGTCTATCCCCATTGGCTGCTGTTTATGCTGCACTGAAGCATGTGAAGGTGGAGAGAAGCATTGTGGCATCACTTTCATTCAAAATAAACCCAGAATAGTTCTCTGAGCTTCACGCTGCTTGAATCTGCCACTTAAGCTGGCTACAGCAGCAACAGTTGGCTACATGCTGGTGAAAGAAACCAGGCATTGTGGTTTTGCTGGAGCCTAGTCTATTGGGGATCTACTTCTTGCCACTGTAACATAGTGGTGGTGTGATGGATGAGGATGCTAATGAGAGGTAGCCTCCTACTCCAATGTACTACTGAGTCCAACAGGTCTGCAAGCACAAGAGTGCTTCTCTGATGCCATATTTGGGGGGATATCTTGCCATCTATCACCGCTCTCCACTTGGACATCAAGCTGTTGACTGCAACTCTTTGAGTGCAACCACCCAGCCAATTCCTTATCCACCGATCCTTATCATCACCTTCCTCTCCACATCCCCTCCTCAGAAAGCTGTAGAGAGCAATAAGGTCCCCCCTTAGCCTCCTTTTCTCGCAACTAGACAAACCCAGAGTCCTCAGTTGCTCGTCACCAGACATGCCTTCCAGCCCTTCCACCAGCTTTGTTGACCTCCTGTGAATGCATTCAAGGACCTTAACATCCTTCTTAAATTGTGGTGCCCAGAACTGCACACAGTACTCAAAGTGAGGCTGCACCACTGTTAATACAGCAGGAGAATCACCTCTTTTGACTGGCTTGTATCCGGAAGAGTAGGAAAGAAGCAGTTGCAGTACATAAAATCTGAAAATGCAGAAATGAGACTTCAGTGGGGCTCACTCAGCATCTCTGGAAAGTATAAGATCCAGTTTTTTCTCCTTCCACTCACTGCTCTGGAGTCTACATCAGCTAAAATGTCCCATTCTGTGCTGTTTCAATGGATTATGATACAGATCTTTATAGGTGAGTCTTCACCTGCTTTTTGTGTGCTTGCTCAGAAAACAAAAATTTTGTAAAATTGAAAACTTGTTTTGTGAAAACAAAAGAGTGAAAATGGTTGTAATTGTATACAGAATTTAAAAAGTTTTTTACTGAATTAATAATGATTTTTTTTTTGTTTTTGAAAATATATGTGGCTCTGTGTATAGGCTTGGTTAATTCTCTAGTCCCCACAAATTATCTGATTTCTTTACTACTGTTAAATGTGCATTGCTGGCTTTGCTTCTTCATCTGTCTCTCTACCACACTACAGTGCTGGCACAGCCCAAGCTAGGGAATTGAAATATTGTCAGAGTAATAAATCTATATACATGATAAAGGATTTTCTGAAACTCTGAGGACTGTCTGCTGCTATGAACTGAGTATGGGAAAGCACGTCTGGAGACTCCTCTCCTTTTACTCCCATGTGTTCAGTATACCCATCTAAAATCTGAATCCTAAAAGAGATAGAAGTCAAAGAAGAGTAACCTGGGAGACTGTGTCTTGCAAGTGTGGTTGGTATTGGCTACATTTCTGCATGCACATCTATGCATCAGCAGTGCAGTTTCCAAATTGCCTGAGGTGGCTCAGGAATTTGGGTTCACCCACTTTCAGTGGGGTATGAGCTCCTAGTGGGACTTGTGCTTTTAAACCACTCGGGCATTTCAGGAAATCCTTAATTGGCTAACCTCTGCCAGGATGAAATATTACATATAATATCTATAGCAACTGTGATGTTCTTAAATTGATCTGAAAAGTAGTGGAAAAGTTTGGTCAGCAGCGAGATACCTGAGGGGCAAGAGGTGATCCATGCCCCACTGAGGAAAGGTAACACAGCCTCCATGGTGTCTGCTGAACAAGTGAGGCTTCACTAGCACTTTGCTGTAGCCCAGGGAATTCCATAATATTTTTTGTCTTTTGCCAGACTTGGCAGAAGAAAGAGGAGGACTCTTTCCTTGCCATATCTTCAGTCTCAAAATAAATTGTAGGTACTCGCCTCCATTTGGTCTTATTTTCAAAAACTTTCTTGTATGCAGAGCTACTGAAGGGTGAGAATGGCTTTTTGTTACCTTGTTGTTAACTCAGCTCTGTCCTCAGAATGGGTTGTCTTTAGACTCAGGAAACCATCAGAGTGGGCAGTTAAATGCTTCTTTTCTGTTTATCAGTCATTTTCTCTGCAATTCCATCAGTACAAATGCTTCAATAAAAATTTTTTAAAAATAGGTTTGATAGGGAAAAAATGACAGATATCTTCTAAAAAGAAGGAAAATTATTCCAGATACAGATCAAGAAAAAAAAATTTTTTTTTCAGCCAGTTGGCTGGAGGATGTATGTCTTTGTCCATCCAATGACCAGTGTACAGGTGAGAAGACCACTAAAGCAGCAACTACTGGAGTTACGGCTTAATACCAACTGTCACTGAGAGTTGGTTCAAGAGAAACTACATATAAATATGTGTATATGTGTATGATCTGAAGAATTAGAAATACTCCTTTCTATTTTGGAAGATATATGAAATATCTGGAGTCCATTTCTCTCTCGCTTGGATTAAGGATTTAGAGTGGCAAGTGTCACTGACTTCAGTGGGACTACCCAGGCACAGCTGATGCTCAGGGTGCCTCCGGCCAAATCTGGATGCTTAGGAGGGTCACTGCCATGGACAAGGGTGGGATTCCTCTCACAGTAAGACTATGGTGTCACAACTTAGTCTCAGGAACCTCTTAATTTCAAAGACATGTTCATTCAGTTCCATTTACTATTTATTTTGGAAGACGTGTCTGTGGAAGTGGCTGCAACTGAGAAGGAAGTTATTTAGTCCTTGCAGAGGTTTATACTGTTGAATCAAGGCTGTTGCAGTATTGAAGCTTTCCATACCAACCTGCAGTGCAGGCAGATGTTAGCAACATTAGCACCACATAAACTAAAAGAGGATTTGAAACTGCAAAACCTTTAACTTTCTAGCACCAATACTGGTGGGAAATTGCACTGGAGACACTCTGGTGCCTTGTGTCTTCCCTCTTCTTCTTTTTGTTTATTTATGTATTTAATAAGTTCAGGGCTCTGCTTCCTTCAAAGAGAAGAGCAGGCAAATTTTCATTTGTTAAAGGGTTGCTTAATGAAGCTGCTTCTGTGCCGTGCAGGACTGGGATGAAATAAGACCAGAAGGTGAGGCCATTTTTCCTCAAGCAGCAGTGACCTTAACTCCAGGAACAGTTCAAGCTGGCCTTAGTTTTGTACACATCTTTGTTGGGGTGACTTGAAAATATGTGTTAACCTGCTCAGTGACTAACCCCCTGCTCCTCTATGAATGCTTTCAAGGTCAACTGGATGAATTGTTTTGTTCTGTCATCAGAGAAAGAACCTTTTTTTTCTGTTTGTTCTCCTGTAACAAGGCAAATGAACCTACCCTTTCCAAGGACTAAAACAAGCAGCCATCTTGCAAAGCCTTATCCCATATTCAGGAATTCATCTTTTGGCACATCCTACCTTCATTTCACTGCAAAATCTTCTGCCCTTCACACCATATTGCATGTTGTTTTGTCTGCCTCTACTCTTTTAGAATTTGGAGCTGTGGAAACCTGAATGAGTTGGCTTATCTTGCCAATGGAATAAACAATAATGAAGCTGAAATGTCATCCCAATAACAAGTCATGAGGCAGCCTGCCACAAACTAAAACCTCACCTGGGGAATAGTCCATTAAAGACAAAACAAAAGAGACATGGACACAGTTGGAAGCATATGTTTGCTATCTGGGAGTCATGCCAAAAAAAAAAAGGCATTCAAACAGCTGGCAAAATAGAAATGTCTGGTAAACCAGGGCCAAAGCTGGTGATAATAGCTGCAACTGCTGTAAATCCTCTTTGGGGTAAGCAAACTGGCCATGAGACATCAGATCTGTGGGATGATCTTGCTGCAGCAGAAGAAAAGATCTGGATGCTCTCCAGGTCCCTTAGTTCCTGTTCCACCATATATAAATGATAACATGGGGGGAAAAAAGGCAACAAGGAAGGCAACCAAAACAGATTAGATGAATGTAAACCATAAAAGATTTGTTCCTCTATGGGAACCTTTTTTGTATGAAGAAGAAATCTCTTTTAGGGAAATCTGGGAACTGCATAGACATTTATGAGGGAACAATATGTAGTAAAGATTCAAACCAGATGCTAAGGTGGGTGTGTATTGGTTGTAAACACCAAGTAAAGCTGGTTATTAAGAGTAAGAGCACAAGGAAAGAATGTGCATACTCTTTTTAACATCAGCATAATGCTAGCAGTTAAAGCTTCTGTGTACACAGTGCTATGCAAGGTAAGCGGGATAGTTAGCAGGGCTTGCTCAAGAAGAGAAAAAGCAGCGTGCTTCCTGAGAACAGGTTCCCATAGACAGAGCTCATTGCTCTGCCAGCTTAATTAGGCCCTAGTTTCACACATGAAATGGTATTTTAGACCCTGCTATTGGGACTGTCAGTGAAAGGCAACAATGACAGCATTTTCTTTTTGAAGATGACTGAGAAAATCAGATGCATTTCACAACGGGTTTCTGAACAACTTTCAAACAGCCTCTTAGAATAGGAAATGGGATGGGAGCAGAGTTCCCAAATTCCATTTTCACAGGTCTAGTCTGCGCTCAGGCTGCCAGTGACAGATCTCAGCTCTGCTCACCACATGTTTGATGTGAGCGGTGTATTTTGTGAGCAATCTTCCAGCAGCTGGCTGGGGCCAGAGTACGGAGCCCTCCAAGAGCAACCCAATGTCTGTGAGCTCCTGGTTGTTGCCCATAGTGTCCTGGGCCATCAGCTGCCCCAGGTCCCGGGGAAGGCTCAGGGGATCAATAGCTATGTCCTGTCTGCAGGCAGGAGCGTTTCTTTTCCTGCCTCATTGTGTTGCATAGGTAGAGTCACGCTTCAGAGAGTCAACACTCATTTTTCCTTGTTCTTCCTTGACAGCACACACCGCATCCGAAGCTGTTGTTAGAGGAGTAATGGGGAAATCTGTTCAGTTGTCTTGCTTCTACCGGGTGGCGCAACCTAATGATATCACCGATATGTGCTGGGGCAGAGGTCCTTGCCCAAATTCGAAGTGCAATAAAAAAATTTTGCAGACCACTGGGAATAAGGTGACATTCAGAACATCTCAGAGATACAATCTCCAGGGCAATATTTCCTATGGAGACGTGTCTCTCACTATTGGGAAAGTGAAGGCAGAAGATGCAGGTATATACTGCTGCCGCATAGAGATCCCGGGTTGGTTCAACGACATCAAAAAGAACGTGAAGTTGGAGGTGGTCAGAGGTGAGTTTGGGGACCTTCATGATACAGTCAGTAGGCAGAAACCTCTCACTGAGTAGGAAGTCAAAATTGGAGTTTATGTGCGCTTTTCTTGTTTGTTTGTTTGTTTTAGCAAAAAGTGTTTTTCCTAAATTACACAGTTTTCCAGGGAGGTCTGCAACCAGTTACCAATCTGAATCATATTCAGTGAGCAGTTGTGGTGAGAAAATAGTAACTTTTGCCCTTTCTTTTCCTTTCAAATGAAATATTTCTCATTGTGTAGCTATATTTGACATTTTAAAAGATGATGGAATTAAAAAAGGGATTTATCATTTGAAGAGCCCTTGGAATAAAATTCAGCTTTTCATTTGGGACAAACCCCAACACCAAAAGTGTTTAAATTTGGTTCATGTCATAAGGAGACCCATGTGTTTAGAAATTTTGAGTCTTGATGGACTTTTTTCCCTTCCTACTATTTTGCTTAGCTGCAAGATAAAGTAAGAGTGTTACAAAGTTGAGAAGAGGCTGAAAAGCATTGCAAAGCACAGGAAAAAAATATGGTACCCACCCTCCACACTTCAGAAAGACAATATTTTTTCCTGACTTTTACAGGGTGTTCAGGAATGCAGCTGGTGCTGATGTACACAGCCCTCTTGTATGCCTGTTGTGATATAACAGGAGGGTGGGGAAAAAATGATGCCATGCCATGTCTACCCTTGAGTTTGAGAGCAAGAGAGTTCATAAAAAAGGACCGTTTGAAGAGATTAGCAAGAAGCTTGTAGCTGAAAATTGAGCTATTTTATTTTTATGAGGACATTGAAAAGAAAAATCACAAAGTTTGCAAGTTTTTGGGTTCTGTCATGCAAGGTTCTGGCCCTTCCATTTCTTTTAGAGGGTCAAGAAGGGTGTGTTTGAAACCCACCAAAAAAACCCCCATATCTATAAATCTGGGAATTGTTCTGGCTGGGACATGTTTTCTGCTAATTAAACAACCTTTTTAAATAGTGACTCTCCCACTTCCATTCTTAGTATTTCAGCAGCTAGACAATTTTCATTCATCTCTGGGTTGGCTTTCCTCAGGGTCAGTTGTGAATGCTCTGATCTAGCTTATCTCTTGGCTGTGTTTTTTCCATGCAGCCCCTCCAGTGAGGACAACCATCACGAGAAAGGCTCCCGTTTCCCCCAAACATTTTAGAAAAACAACTTTTGCTCCCCAAGCAACCTCTGATCATCAAACAACAGCAGACACTGTTGTCCTCCTGACAACCACTGTCCCCAAAGCAACAACTGCAACCACCAACCAAGCAAGAAGAGAGACTGCTGCCCTTCTGACAACCACTGTCCCCCCAGCAACAACTGCAACCACTGCGTCTTCCACAGTAATTACACTGGAGACCACTGCTCCCCCAACATTTGCTGTAACAGAAAATTATACCTTTCCAGCAACTATAGTTACAACCAGTGCTCTCCCAGATTTTTCAGCTGGTTTCCAAGCAGATGACATGAGGACTGAAGATGACGATGTGTTCTGCCCAGCAGAGTCTGTCACTCTTCCTGGAGGTACAAAGGGTAACCAGCACCAATCCTTTCTTTTTTTTCCTGTGTAGCAGACATGGTCTATGTTAGCCCGACTCTGGCACAGAGACTCTCCAGGTACTTATATTTGTATCTGGGAAGTCTTCTCTGAGATGCCTGCAGGTATGTCTCAGTAGGTTTAAGGAAACACGGGTCACATGCTGTGAATGATGTCAAACTGGGGTGAATGTCCGAGATAGCAGAGGATCAGGCTTGTGTTCAGAGGAATTTTAACAGGCTGGAGAAATACTGTGACAGAAACCTCATGAAGTACAACAGAAATAAATGCAAATTCCTGCACCTGGGATGGAGTAAGAGAAATTCACTCAACTATGCACTATTTTTTTCCTTGATTTGGGAAAGATAATTGAAATGGTCTGCTGAAAAGGTTAGTTTAGAGCATGTTCTGCTTGAGCAATAAAGTCAGTGAGAAGTCAAGACATGCTTAAAATTGAGTACTTACATTGTCATCTCATATGAAGGCTGCTCTTATTATTAATATTTAGTTGATCAGAGTGACCTATTATCATCCTAACCATCCTAGGTTGCTACTTTGTCCACGTCTGTGACTTCTTTTCCACAGATTGATGTCTGAATACTAGGCTGTTTTTTACACAGTTTTGGGGTCTTCTCTCACTTGAAGTTCTTTCTGACCTAAATGTCTTCTGACAGCTTTTCTACATTATCTTTTGTCTTCCAGCCATAACAATGTGCCCCATTTAAACCTGGTGACAATTAATTACATCCGCAGCTGAACAGTTAAAACATCTAGCCACTGGCCATGCTAGTAACCTACATCAGTTATCTGGGTAGGGTGAGCTGCAGGCATGAAAACCACCGAGGTGCAGTTTTTCACCTCCTAGTTGTAGATGCAGAACTGTGCAAACAATTTTAAATGCCATATGAAGACCTTCCTAATCAGTGATTTTTATCATAAAGCATCACATTTTACTTTGTTTCAGTGACTACTGAATTCCCAAGTATACTCCCAACTGCAGAGGGAACTAAAAGTGCTCACACTTCCCTCATGGTGGAAGACGTGCCAACTGCAAGTGAGTAGGATAACGTTGCAAGGTCAGAAGTTGCATGTTCAGATACATGAAGAAGTTGTCATAAACAAAATTCTTGACTATTCTTAAGAATGTACCAAACATGTACTGATAGTTGTTCATTGCATCTGGAAGTAAAAGGTATCTGGGGTCCACAGAGATTGTTTGAAATGTGTATGTGACAACAGTTGAGGAAAACGTTTTTAAGCCTCCAAAGGAAGTAGAGTGTGAGTCACTTACTGTTGTTGGGTATCTCAGATTTGAGAGAAGTTAAGAACCGGACTTTGTCACCATTCAAGCTGAATTCTTGGATATCCAATTTGTCATCACTGTGAGTTCATTAAGCTTTCAATTTTAAATTCTCCCTGAGTGTTGTGAGCTTTGAACCTCAGTGAGTATATTCAGCCAGATGTGGCTGCAGGCTCAGCTCTCCAGTGCTCAACATGGGTCCTTGGTCATGATGGAAAGCAACAGGCAGTTACCACAACTATCAGTCATTCCTTAAAGAGAAAATGAACTGGTATACAAAATCATGCTGTATCTGAGAAATGAACAAATTTATGTAAAGTTTGCACTTTACATCTCTCAGACAAGTATAAAAGTAGGATGGCTCAAGTTATTCAGGTGTGATAGTCTGCCCACCAGATGCCCTCAAATGATGACTTAAAAAAAGGAAGGCTAAAAGTCAAGGATGACATGTCATATTCGGCTGTTAAGAAAGTCCATTCAGTTTCAACCAGTGCCAAGAATCTCTTAACTCTTAAAAACACAGTATTTAGATTTTTGCAGTTCTTCTTTTGCTAGACCTAGAGACTTAGAACAGAAATAGTTTAGGCAACTTTTCCTTAATGCCCCTGGAGGAGGCTCACAGAAGAGGCTAAACTGGTCTCTTGAGCATTTGTGAGGGTTTCTTATTCCTGTCTCACTTGTCATCTTTCTGATATGGTCCTGGATAATGCCTATATTCTGTCATTGTAAACAGGAAGTTTTGCAAAGGGTATTACCTCTGAGATTCTGAGGGCAACTTAAGTTGTGACCGTGGGCTAGAAAGAGCCACCACAAAAGCAATAACAGCAGAAAACATACCATGCTTATGTGAGTCATGTACACTGCCACCCATACAAAAACTTGTGTCATGCTATTTCCGAGAGCCAAACTGTCATAATGTGTGAAAATGCTGCAGTGTAATTGAGCACTGTCTAGTAAGTGCTATAAGTCAAGTTCTTAACTCAGTCTCCTTTTAAATAATAAAATAATAATCCTATAAAATAATGCACTAAAGGAACTAACTTCATCTTTATTGTAAGGTAAGAGAAAGTTAATTTCTTGATGATTTCTATATTGATGCCAGCACAGTGGCTGGGAGAGAAACCCGTGGTTGAGAGAGCCCTCCATCTCCAAGCACAGTTCTTGCCAGATATCTTGGCTTAGCTGGGGTGGTTGGTTCCTGCTGACCAGACTGATTTAGTTTCTCTTCTGTCTTTGCCTGCTTTTTGCCAGCAACAACTCTGCCAGTGCCAACCATCCTTCAGACCCCAAAGAAAACCCATGCTCCTTCAGGTAAGGAAAGTAAGCAGCAATAGTTGCTCCCATGAGCCAGGCTGCAGCATGCTGCCAGAAAGTTTAATTTTCACTTGTAGGAAGTGCATGTTGGAGTGAGAGATGCACTTCTTGTGTATTTGGGGGGTAGTTCTGATGAACTACAGTTCTCTTCTGAGAGAGGGAAAGAGAGGTGTCATAAAATAGACATATGGTAAGATGCCATGTTCACGTATCCCTGGGATTATTAGAACTTGTTAGGATTTTATAACCTATATTTGTTTAGCTGTAGCGTTTATTAGCCATAATGTCTTTTCTACTCCAGGGCAGATTTCTAGCTAGTTGCATGTGTATGAGTTACCTGTGCCCTGTCCATATCTTTGGTAAAATGAAAGCACATTATTTGGTACACGGAGACAAATCAACTCAGTTCTCATAGAGAGTTGATCAGAACTGAGAAATTTGGGGGAGATTAGGTTATGCACTGAATAATATAACTGAAAAGTTAGAAAATAAATTTAGAAAGCATTTTTTTTAAATAATGGGATTATTTGTGACCATCTGATCATCCCCATCATAATGTCGCTTTCTGGGTGTCTTATGCATATAAAGTTTCCTTTGGCTGCAGTCATGGGCACTGCAAGCGTGTTACATATACATACCTCAACAAATGACTCATCTGGTCTCTGGTACATTTTGCTCAGATTGAGGCTCCGTGGTTGTTCTCTTGTCAAACCTTTGAAAGCACTGCTCATCATAGCCTGTCTATACATTAAGTCATGACCTAAGGCATAGGAGCTCTCTCATCATAGGATGTAAGCTGAAGTTTCGATTCACTAAGCTGAGTGACTCCTCTGTTTTTAAGATGCTGTTAAAAGTTGGGTGCTTCCTGTGACAGATCAAGTTCTCCAAATACTGAAAAACTTAAGAAATTTGTAGCATGAGGTCAGAATGAGCCAAGGACCAAGCCTAGATTAACTTTTTGTGACTTTAAATTCATTAGCAAAAGAGAGTATGATCATAGGATAACAGCAGAAAATTTGCTGCAGGAGTTCTTGAGCATACACTTAGTTTATCCGTATTTCCAAAGCTTAGAAAACTAGAACTGGATTATTTGTAATATCCCTATATAGAAAAAAAATATGTCATTATCTCCACTGAGCTTTCTTAAATCTGTGGTAAGTTATCTGAATGTAAAGATGTTTCCTGTGGTTTTAAGTGATAATGCAGCTTTCAGAAACTGCAATCACACAAAAGTCTGACTTTTGTTCCTGAGACAGTTCTTCCACTTAGACTTGTATCTTGTTTACTACCTCTGTTCTCTCTGACATCTTGCCATGCTTACAGAAGTGAAAACTCCTTCTCAGCAGACATGTTTCTACAGTCTGGCTTCTTGGGCTGTCCCTGGGAAGCTTCCTCTTTCCTTGATGAAGACTGACATTTCCCAGTGACTGCCTGATATACCATTTGTGGCAAAACCAGCTTGTTCCCTTTTGTTTTCAAGGTGCTTTATTTCTTCTATTCAGAGTCAGATTTTACTCCCCTCATTCCCTGAGTTCACTACTCCTTGGCTAAAGCAATGACAACTACAGTGGCCCTCACTCCTTCAGGTGACTGTGTCAGTAATAATTTCAATCTTTTATTTTCTGGGATTTCAGCAAGGTCAGACAGCAAGGCTGAGAAACATGACGATAACGGAGATAAGGTAAAACTTCCTTTAAGTTTCAAGAATGTTTAACTAGAAGCCAGAAGGACAGCAAGACATGCTAATGATTTGCAATGTAGTCATACTGAAGCGACAGTGTTTGCAAATAGTAGCTTGAACTATTGCTTAGAAGTTCAGGAACCATCTACTTATTTTTCCAGTGGGTAGAGCCAAAGCCTGTGACCATCCCATCTGGCTTGGGCACTTCAGAAAAACCTCCTCCCCCTGCCACTCCTGTAAGAGAGGCAGAGGTAGCATCCTCAGGGTGTGACCAGGCAAAAGGCAGTTTAGGAGGGTTGTTACATTTCTCTGTCTCTCATTAAGAGAAGGATGAGGGTGACTAAGCTCCTACTTTAGAAACTTTATTAAGAAGTTCATGTTAAGTGGGATGAATCTGGGCTCAAATGCTTCAGAAGATTTGTTAAGTACTTAAGAGGTAATTCCTATTGTTTATCATGTTCAACTCAATGTGCCTTCTCCATACTTTGCACAGGCATGGTCAGAAAAGCATTGCAAACTCCAGCCCAGAACAGATATTTCAGAGCTCTTAGCCTGCGTGAATAGGTCTGAAGTAAACACGCTTCTAAAACCCTTTCAGTTTTTCTCTTCTTTCTTCCAGTTTCCCAGCTATCCCATTCTCATTGTCTGTCTCATAGTGGTGCCCGTTATTCTCATATTGATGGTCTCTTTGTTTTGGAAACGTAAGTATCCCTAAGCACATAACTGATCAATGTTTCTAATGCTGGCCTAGTGCAGATGTCCTTCTGTATCTCTGGTTAATCTTCTGGTAAATCTGCCATGGCCCCTGTGACAGCACTCTGTTAATTTTATGGGGGTTACTGTCCTTACTCTAGGACTCTGTAACCACGAGAAGACCAGGGAGCATGAGTTGGTGGGGATGCAGCAGGAGGAAGCCTGTTCAAAGAATCTGTTCACTCACTTGTTGCAGGTCTGGCTCATCTTGTTGGCTCTTGCTTTATAGTTAAGTGGTCCCATAGCTTCCTGGAACTGCTCCTGACAGATGCTGGGGTACTTTAAATCAGAATGAGATCCTTTCTTTCCTGCTTAGCCCACAAAAATTTTGCAACTTGCTGTCTTCGCTTCTGAACTCATTTGACTGATTCATTAGAATTACAGACTTCTTTTTGCCATTGTGACATTAATATTATTTTCTTCTAGGTAAACACGCAAAGAAGTTTATAATAAAAAGGTAATTCATTTTGTAATTTCTTGTAAAAGTTCCAATGTAATTTTTCTTAGATACAGGAAGGTATTTGCTGCTGATTGTAATGGGTGTAATGGGCTTGTGGTGCTGACTACCGAAGCTGTATTACAAGCAAGCTTCAGATAACTTCACTCCAGAAAATCAAACAGTGGTTCCTGGATACTGCTGCTAAGTAGCAATGAACAGACATCCAGACCACTGGAGAACTTCAGCAACTGGTACTTAGTGTTATGTAGTAGCCCCATCTTAAGGAAGTACCTAATCTGCTTTATTCTGCGATCAAATTCCAGGGCATGACCATAGTGGGGTTATTTTAGAGAAAAGAAGAGAAAAATAGTTACAATGATCAACCGACAAGATGATTGCTCAGAAACAGATCAGGGATTTATGGGCAGTTTTCCATGGAGTGGCAATTCATGACAATACACAAATAATGGACCCCATGAAGGGCATACTACAGCAGTGTGGCAAACCAAGCTTTCCACCAGTAGATATATCTTGCAGCTCTCGTGGTACCACTGCACCCTCTCACACATTCCTTGTGTCACACTGAGGTATCTGAGGTGATTGTTTTGGGGCAGATATGAAATACGGAAGCATGATGAGTCACCCTGTGCAGGTGTAACTGATGAATTCTTGTATTCTGGGTTATCTTGAAACGAGGATTTTCTCTAGACAAGCCACTGGGTAGTCCAGTGAAGTATTGTTGTGGTTTAACCCCAGCCAGTAACTAAGTGCCATGCAGCTGCTCACTCAGGGTGGAGAAGGACACAGAGGAGAATTGAAAAAAAGTAAAACTTGTGGGTTGAGATAAGAACAATTTAATAACTAAAATAAAATATGATAATAGCCATAATAATAAACTATAATAATAAAAATAATGAAAAGGAATATAACAAAAAGAGAGCGAAGTAAACCCCATGAAATAACAAGTGATGGACAATGCAATTGCTCACCATCCACTGACCAATGCCTGAGCTGTAATCTGCCCCTCTCAGCCAACTCTCCGCAGTTTATATACTGAGCATGACATTCTATGGTAGAGAATACCCCTTTGGCTAGTTAGGGTCATCTGTCCTGGCCAGGCTCTCTCCCAGCTTCCTGTGCACCTTCTTGCTGGCAGAGCACGGGGAACCGAAAAGTCCTCGACTTAGGATAAAAGCACTACTTAGCAACAACTAAAACATCAGTGTGTTATCAACATTAACCTCATACTAATCCAAAATACAGCACTGTACCAGTTACTAGGAAAAAAAATAACTCTATTATTAACTCCAGGCAAAACCAGGACAAGTATCACCCTTTTGCCAAAGATTAATTACTTTTCAATGGTAGATGGACCCCCACTGCATACCCCACCTAGGAAGTAAGAATTGGGTGCCAAGGAGGGACTCTTTTCTGAATCCCAGGGTGGTTACCCTACAGCTGTCATTATAAGATCTGAACAGCCCTTTCCTATGCATTAGAAGAATGCAAGGTAAATACTTCTCTGGTGTAAAAAGTAGGCATTCCACCACTGAAGTGAGTGAACTCAGTAGCCTGTGGTCTCCATTTCATTGGGAATTTGGTGATGAAACAAATAAAAAAGGATGATCTGAAGCAGCAATGTGGTTTTTCCCCATCCATAGTGATCTATGCTTCTCACTACAGCCTTGGACCAGCAGAAGACCTTGAAAAAGTTTTCAGTGGCGCTGAAGGAGAAAACAGCGTTTTTTCCCTGTGAAGAGCTCCTACATCATCTGTAGATGCCACAGAAAATAAAAAGGGCCTGTTTCATGCTGCATTGAGATGCTTATGAACCCTCAAAATATCAATGGGTGTAAACCAAAGGCCAAAGCTTCAACTGTGAAAATTTAAAATCTTTGTGCAAATTTTGCCATGTCACCTTTAAAACTCATAGCATAAAGAAGCTTCTTTGAGAAGGTGCTTTATGCATTATTCATAGGTGTTTCTAGCATCTGCCTTCTTACTAATACCATGTTACAGAATTGAATTTGTTTTTCTCCATTTTTACTAATACTCTTCCTTGAATACAACTTATACTTTGAGGAAGAGAAGATAGAAGAAATAACATGAAATACTGCCTAACTTCAAATTGAAAAAAAAAAAAATCAGCAAATACAGTTCTTATTGCTTTTATGTAATCAAGGATAAAATTAAGCCACAAGAATGCTGTGAGTATAAATCAAAAATGCAGATTACTTAAGGGGTACCAATGCTGCCTGTGATTCAGCATGTTTGAATGACCCTTGGAGACTATGTTAATAAACTTTGTAATTTACTGCTAGCAATTGTATTTCTTACGCCACATCCTAAGGCATTTGAACAAGAGTTAGTTATTCCCCAGGTTTTGAAACGACTAGTGTGCTGTCTCAGCTCTCCAAAGAAGTACTGCAGTTTTTCCAGTGGTGGGAAATGCCCAGAAGACCAACCTGCAGGGAAATTTTTCAGTCCTGTCCCCACAAATCCTCAGGCCACTCATTTGTAAATCTATGTCTCCCCACTCAATGTGCACAGGGGAGCCCCAGTTTGTTTGGAGTTGCCTTTTGGTCCTCACAACAATGACCAGCAAAACCCAGTAGCTCTTGTGGTGGAGTCTGCTTGTAAATGAAGACCTGCACCATATAGCCCCAGGGTGCTTCATTTAGGGTCCCTGCACCCAGTCACAGGGTAGCATAGTGCTGTCTGACTGGGTTTTGTATGGATCAGACTGGGGTGCCCAGTCCCACCAGTGCTGCCCATTTCTCTTTTAAAGTAGCTGCAGGTGAGAAGCACAACACAGAGCACAGCCACATCTTGGAAACTTTGCTGTCCCTTCAGGTACCCACGGGGGAGGTTGGTGAAGCCACCTCAGTGTTTTGGAGCAGCATAGACAAAAATCCTGTCATCTCCATGGAAAGGCTCTGGGGACACTAAAACCAGTGAAGAAGAGATGAAGGGTGGCATTCACCTTCTGCTGCTTCTAGTGGGATGGAAGAGCTGCAGGGGAGAACATTGCTGCTGCTGGGGACAGAATTTGTCCCCAGTCCTTCTCTGTAGCAACAAGCTGCCCTCACACTCCTACCCCATCCGCAGGGGCACTGGCAGGACCTGCCATCCCTCTTCCCAAGACTTTGGCATTGCAGAGCTGGCAAGCAGGCTGCAGCTGTTTAGCTGCTCAGACATATCTGTGTTGTGCTTAGGGCTGACCCTGAGGACGGGGATGGTTTGGACGCTCTGGGCTGCATGGGCACGTGTGTGTTTCGGACAGCGGGGCAGCTCCACACTGCGGACCTTGGCTTGGCCCTGGGATGCCTGAGCAGGACGCAGGGCTGACGGCAGCACAGAGCAGTCCTGGGAAGTCTGAAATCCTCCGTGTTATCCTCAAGCCTTGTAAATGCTGCCGTAACGGTAGCTCTGCAGCGCTAACCTCATCTTCTACTCAGCTGGGAAAACTGGAGCCTTCGAGTGGTTGCGAGGCAGATCAGCAATGCATGGCAGAGCGAAGCCCATTGTTTCACCGCACTAATTGCACCTTTTCTGAGAGGGCTTTTGCTTATGTTTCAGCTGGGTTGAGATTTAGGCTTTAAAAAACAGCCAAGGTATTTGAAACGTTATTACTGTGTGGAACACTTGCCAAATTTTTTAATGCAACCAGTCCTGAAATATGGCAATCTATGGCCTAGGTTTGGAGGTTTTTTTCTGGTTGGCTAGTTTCTTAGGGGGGGGCATGGGGTAGGTTTTGTTGGTTTGGGGAGTTTGTTTGTTTTTTGTTATTGCTTGGTGTTTTTGTGTTTTTTTTTTTTTTTTTTTTTTTTTTTTTTTGTTTTTTGTTTTTTTTTTTTTTTAATAATTCAGGCAATAATAGCTGAAGCAGATAAAATCATGAAATCATGGTTTTAGTATGCAACTGGTTAATCCATTTCTGAACTCTATTATTCAGATGTTAAGGATCCTGTTGGACAGTGCCTCATTCTATGATGCTTTAAAAACCAGACAACCAAAGTTACTAGCTTGGTAACCAGTCTGGAGGCATTAGTGAAGTAAGACTGGCCGTGGAGGCTGGGGGATCACCTATAGCATGTGCTGCCGAGCTTTTGTGTATCTCATTGGGGTCCTCACCAACTCTGCTGCAGGCACTATGGGAATGACATGGGAGAAGGTTCAAATCCACCACACTGTATATTGTCTCCACTGCCTGGAGTTCACCGGTGCCTGACATGGCAACTCTGGGCAATGACAGTTTGAAGTAAGACCACATTGTGGGAATAGCATTTGATCAGAAGAAAACATTGTGTGGCAGCTCTGGACTTCCCTGCTAGTCATGCTCAGGGCTGCGGTGAGACTTTTTGACTCTATAGCATCTTCTCACAGGCCAGGAGTTGGGGGAGGCAGGGAAGGTTCCTCTTTAGGGTCCCTTTCAGCTGAGCCTGGGTTCAGCACCCTGCTGTGCACCCTGGTCTGGCAGTGCTGTGGGAGGCAGAGGACTCCCAGAGCAGAGTCTGTGACCTGCAGGTTCCCAGCTTGGGTTTGCTCAGCTGAGACCTGGGTCTGTCCCATGCTGGTTAATGTGGTCACTGCCACCCCAACACACATCATGTGCTGAGCCCAGGGGCCTGGCGCCCAACCTGCTTCTGGGCATGAACCCCACTCAGATCTGTAAGGAATAAATGGGGGAGAAAACACCAAACAGCTTTTATGTACTTTAAAAAACAAAACGAAACAAAACAAACCAGAGCACCTTTTTTTTTCTTTCCCTTCCACCTCCCCCTCTCCCAAGTAAACCTGCAAATTAAGCCAGCAATATCTTCATTGCAACTTCCAATTGGCAGGGCTGGGCCAATCCTTTTGCTTTTATTAATTAGCTCTGCACTAACGACTTCTTTAGAGCAGGGCTGGGCCTTGCTGGAGAAGGTCTTAGCATGTTTGCTGTGGTGCTGTCTGGACTTGAAGGCCCTTCTTTGGGGAGCTGCACAAGGACAGAAGAAATAGGAACCACCAAAGTGAGTTTGACCTGACCAGCCATGTGGAAATATGGCCCAGAAATGCTGTAGGGAAGCTGTAAGTGTAACTTACATTGCTGAGCATTTTTATTTCTTTTTATCCACCCCAATTACTGAGGCTGAGGTTTGGGCTTAGAGTGGCAATTGGAGGCAAGGAATCTGGGAGAGTTATATTTAAATGAAAATGCATTGAAGTAATTTATGAGGAGTGGACCCTGGCTGTCAGTTTGTCCAGTGAAAGGTTAAAGGGGGCTTTTTAAAATGTAGCTGAAGGAAAAATAAATGTTTTCCAAAAGCAATAGAAGTCCTAGAATGCAGTTTCTGGGTCTAGTGAATTAAAACTGGATGAAAGGAGCAGATTTTTAGAAAGAAAAGACTGTCAGAGAGTATGTCATTGGCATCTGGAAATGTTAGGTTTATTTTTAAGATTTTTACCTTGGAAGGCAAAGAAGAAGTGCACTTGAGTAAACATAAAGCACTGCAGCCAAGAAAACCTTCCAGTAAGCAATTTAAAACAATGCATAGAGTTTTAGCTGCAAAGCCCTATAGGGCCCTGTGTTTCAGACCGGGAAAGCTTTGACAAAAGGTGACCTGGCCCCTGGCAGCTGTGCAGGGCTCCGGTCGTTGTGTTGTGTGGTGCAGGTTTCCTTGAGGGTTGCTTTGCTACAACTTGTTGCTGCCCCTTGAACTCGCTGAAGCAGCTCTCCCTGCAAAGTCTGCCCATGTGCACCTTCACCCTGCCCTCGCTGGCCTCCTGGCCCTCCCAAAGAGCTGCCAACCAGCAAAGCTGTTTGCTTTCAAACTCCTGTGCGTTTTCCAAAAAACTCCAGCCCTCCCGGACTTTGCCTCTCACCACCCCTCAAACTGCCAAGCGCTGGGACCTGAAATCATCCAGCTTTAACACCTCTCCCCAGTGCTCTGAGCAGCTGAAGTTATTGCAGCATTTATGGGCTGGCACTGGGAGCATGTGGCTAGTGCAAATAGGGTTTCAATTTGTTCAGAGTCCATGTCAAGCCCAAATAGTGTTATATCTGGGGAGTCTGGCTCTGCTCCATGGAGCAGGTCAGTTAATTAATGAAGGATTTAGCTTTTGGTGCAAGTAATAATTTTGACTGGACTCCAATACTTTGCGGACAATTGTCTATATCAAAATGACCAATTAAATGGGGTAAAGGAAGTCTGACCTGAAGAGATAATGACTGAACTACCTGATTATTATGGAGGGGGTACAGAAAAGCAATTAAAAAGAGAGATCTGAATATTTTGGGACATGGGATTGGCTAATGAGAAAACAGGAGGAAATACTGAAAAAAAGGCAAGCGCTGAGTTAGGAATACAAATCCTTTAAAGAGAAACCGGAGGAATGAATTAAATATCATTTTGAGATTAATAAGAGACCTCTCTTAATAGACTTTATTGGAGCTGACTGCTCTGATGGTCCCCTTTCCATCTCAGCAGCACATTTCGTTTTCAGATATGTTTCTTAGCTGCAATGTGCTTTTCTAGTCATTTTTTAAGGTTAATATAAATAAATCTCTGGGTTCCAAAGGTGGAATCTAATTGGAGCTTAAGAAAGTGCAAGCAGAAGGGAAGAATGTGGTTGAGTACATAGGAAATTAGAAATAAGAATAAATAGCATCATGGGACTTAGAGAAAGAACAGAGATAACCGCACAGTGTGAGATGAATGCATGAAAAAGTGGAAAATTTTAGTCTGGTAGAAAGAGGAAATGGGCCGTGTTGCTGTAGACATGACAGCAGATGGCAAAATTGAGCTACAGAGCAGAGAACCAGCTGGAGAGATTAGAAGAGGCAATAAAGGTGATGCAGATTTAGTGCCAGGATAAATGCAGCCTCCTCCAGTTGCGACAGAGGTCCCGGCCGGGAGCTCAGCTCATGGCTGGCTCCAAGGCACCTTGGCCTAGGCTCTGGCTTCTGTGTCCTCTAGCAACACAACTTCCTGCAAGACTCATTATCACCCTGGTTTTGTTGTGCTCCTGAGGCCATGGTGACCATGCATTTCTTGGTTTCCTCTTCCCACTGATGTCTAGCCCCAGCTGGAAGCAGCATGGCTTTGGTTTCTCTTGCTAATTTAAAGCATAAAACCCAAGACTTGCCACCTCCTGCAGTCACCCTGTAGCAGCTGTGACCTGGCAAAAGAAATGTCAACTTCTAACCATCCTGTAACTCATCTCTGCATCCATTCCTGCTATCAAGCTTATGAGAAAGGGTGGTGGTCTTGGCAAGGGGCCCTCCAAATGATCACTTTGGTGAGTGCTCAGAACTAAGACAAACACTGAGATTAA